AGGTTTCCTATAGGACATTTCCGTAAGGGTGGAAAAAGAATCTACTCCTATAATCGCCTATAACGATAGAATCCGATATTAATAATTTATTGATTGTTTTTGTGAAGCGGAGGGTATAAAAGGAAATCCTTTTCCTCCCACGAAGCCCCCTGGACGTGAAGATCAACCCGGATGGAAGCTGTGGGAACGGGTGTGTGTGCGAGCACAGATGACCAGTCATAATCTGAACGGCGACAGAAATCTTTGCGTGATCTGACCATCACCTCATTTACTGTGGATAGAGTCATTCCTAGTTGAATTTAGAAATGCGGTGGTCGGGACGAACCTCTAAAACTTTTTCTTGAAAGGAGATGACGAGAGAACAAGGGATTTCTGGGTTTCCTCGGTTTCGGCGCGAGATGAAGCGTCGATACGATTCGTTTGCATCAACTGCGCGGTTGCAAAGTTTTCGTACTTCATTTCAGAATCGTCATCTTACGGATTTGTCTTTCCTTTTTGCCTTCGATCAAAGTCAACTGTAACACAATGGGAGAGAGTTGCTAAACAAAAAACCTTTCTCGTTTCCCGATGCGTAGACGATATCATTGGACGGATCGAAGACCTTCATTTAGTTATCCGTGCCGACCCTGGCAAATGCATGTGTGAGGTGAGTGCAGAGAGTCGGATTGATCTGCTCGACGTCGAATTTCGCATCTCCTTGCCGGGACACGCCAAAAGCCCCCGAAATAGCGCAGAAAAACCCTACCACTTGTCATTGCTGTAGTTATAAAGAAAAGTCTGCGGAAATCGTGAATATCGGAAAAATCTATAGTTAACATTTTTGGGATATTCTATCGAGTGGAAAAGTGTTCACCTTGCGTCCCGGCCGATTCGGCCACGATGGAGAATAAAGCCGAGAGGAGAAACATCACTCTCATCTTCTCGCTGAGATTTCGAGTCTTCGTGAATAATTGAAAAGTCCCGAACTTAAGAGAAAATCCGAAAATTCGAATAGACGGATAGAATAGTATGGAAGGATGAGAAGTGAAGGAAGTCGAGTCTAAGTCTGCCTCATCGCTCCTAAAAAGTGTCTACTTTCCTCGACTCACGGAAACGAATCCGGATCCGGAATCGTGCTTCCGTCTCGCATCGCACACTATATGCGATGCGATTACTGTTCGTTTCCGGCAAGTTTCCGGAAGCACGCATATATGAGAGACTGAATAGGCCTACGTTTGGCCTAACGTTACGCGTCCTCGACGAGGTGTCTCGAAGACCAGAGATTAATCCTTGTAGACCTAATTGGTCGGTAGATCGAGGATTAAACTTTTTTTGAACAAAAAATGGTAGGCCTAGGCCTAACCCAGTCAGTCCGTAGGTTAGTCCTAAGCCTAACGTTAGTGAGTTTCGTATAGAAGGGGGGGGGTTGAGGTTGAAGAAAGGTAAAAATTGATATTCACTTTGCTACATAATCTTTTTCTCTCCAAGTTCTGGAAAGAATGTGGGACTCGAGTAAAATTCGAGTCATCGACTAAATGGCTCACAAATGATTAAAAAGCCAGTTTTGCAGCGCTTAACATCTCTGAGGGTCGGCTTGTGTCTGCTGGATACATGCGGAAAATAAAGTGGTGGAACTACGTGAAGTGGAGAGGATATCATGAAGGGAATGGGAAGGAAAGAGAGAGGGAAAATATTGTTTAAAGTGAAAGAGAAAGGGGGAATATCAATGGTGCAACAAGCCCTAACGTTCGGGTGAAGGGGGCTCGGAGAAGTTCTAGTGACCTGTCTTTCAAAATTTTCAGAATGCAAAAAGGCAATATTAAATCTTAAGAAGAAATATACTCAACAAAAATGAGAAACGGCGCGAACACGCGAGCTAGGAAAATGAAATAAAGAAAATGGACACAACATGTTAAAACGGAATTTAAATTCTAATGATTGAAGCACAAGAGTATATGAAAAATGCTCAAAATAAACTAAGTTAAGTTCGTGATTTCGCCCAAATTTCACAACGCAAATACGCAACTGGAAATTCCGTTAACCTGGGACATTACCAAAGCGAGAAGCTGCAAATGACTAGCGTGACCTTCGCCTTTCACTTCCTTTATGCCTTTCCAGCAGAGCTCTCTGGTCGTTTGACCAATACCTTCCCCCCACCCACAGGTGAGAGGGGAATGGAGACGTAGAGAGATTCTATCATGAGAAGGGGTTCGGACCCACTGATCCTCCACCTCGGTAGTGCCACTGGGGAATATTGTCGGTTGACTGATATATATGGCGACCTCGGAAAAAAAAAGCCTCCCCTTTACTGAGTTGAAGCCTCCCTTTTCGCGGGGCATTGCCCCCTCCTACTACTCTTCCCCCTCATCCTCCTTCAGAGCTTCCGCCAGCAACTACCCACCCATCATCATGGTCAAAAGCCACGTCTAGAGACATTGAAAATAGCTCTTTGTTGTCAGATCCCTGATTTGATCCTGGATGTTTGAAAAATAAGGTAACGTTACTCCCCTATCCTTACGTCAAGGAGTACTTTCGCCCCGAATTCATAGTCACATCCTGCGAGAAATATTTCAGTGAGTACTTCACTCGGAATCACAAACAGGTCAGGATTTTTAAGTATTTAATAAACATAATTTCGATTTTGATGGCAAATCCTGAAATTTCTCACTCCAGTAGCTGTTGAAGCGGGAAGTCCATAAAAAATCCGAATTTGGGAGTTCATTTCGCGAATTTTTTTGCACTTCAACGAATCGGACAGATAAGACTTAAACTTGGTGCGCAGAAATAGGGGAGGTGCTGATTCTACGAAAAATCATTATTTTTTATATACTTACCCAGGGAGTAAACATTTTTTATCCCCTCATTCTTCTCTCCAGTGAAATAGACTACAGACGTGGGAATGCGAAAAAGAAATTCGGTTCAAAAGTAAATCTTGTGGATGATCATAGAACTATTCTATTCCTGATGAGGAATAGTCCTTTTGGAATGTTACCATTACGAAAAATCCTATGATATCCAATAAGACTTCTAAACCGTGAAATCTTCACAAGATTCCTTACAGAATTCCCATAAAAATCAGCTGGATCCCATAAGAACATTATACAACTCATAAAAATCATATACGATTTTTATGTTTCACGAATCTCATATGATCCTAGAGGATTTTTTCCTACGAGATCCCCTAATTTTTTTGGCGGACAAGAGGGAGGAGATGGGTCTTATTGATTTTTTTTAATACGAAATTTCTTTCGGATGGGACTAACCTTCATATATTCAGGATTCATGAAGATGTGGATCTGGAGTAAGGGATCTGAGACTCTTATGCGACTCTCCAGCCAATGAACTGTCTTCCAGGAATGCTCCTCGTATGTGTCAAAATGACATCAGATGCAGTTCTTTCCATATTTCAATTGCCTGATTTCCCTTCCTTCCAACAGTTTCATTAGTAATCTTTCCTTTTCCTGCAACTTTTTAAAGGGTGTAGAAGCTTCAAAGAGTTCCAGTCTGAACCATTATTTTTCTACCGTGTATGGGTAGATATTGCAATACCTTCCCCGGTGTCGTCTGCGGGGAAAGGATCAAGGATTGTTCGAAAAGTACCGAGAAATTATGCATAAATGCGCAATTCAGTATAATAGCGATTTGTCGCCGTCTCATCTCCAAGATTAGGAGATTATTTTGTTTCAATAACTGTCATATTTCCTCGTACTGTATATGCTGATGAAACGTTGATGGGAGACAGTGTGCTCAACTGAATCGTAATGAGGATTTCATACCCTCAAATTATTATACGATGTTTTGTACGATCCGCCTCTGTCTCGAAGTGAATGGTACGAATCAAATCTACCTATCAATGTTTTACCCCTTGGGAATAACATATTGCAATGTGGAAATGGACTAACGTGTACAGTTTCGATGGACCCATTTTCCTTTCTGTAGAGAGGCGATATATCTGGGTTTTTATCTTCTATCGCGAAAACGTGTTGTTCTATTGAAAAGCATATGTCTAGACTGAAGTTTAGGTATTTCATTTTGCAGTTATTAATAATACCTCCCGCCCCTGACCTCTTGCCCGGTTCGGATAGAGACCATGTACATTTTCATTTCTTGAGTCGTATTATTATGTGCTAGTACTCATGGCGTCAGTGGACGGGATGGGACACTTTCATTTCCGATTACACCATTTACCTTCTCGCCAGAAAGAGGAAAACGGTACGTTACATACATTTTTGTTCCATGGTTAGCTGCAAGAGCTTTAAAGGACAGAGAGCCGGACAAACAAAAAAAGCAGACATTCGATGAGCTAATGTCTGCGGTATTCACCGTTTTTTTCGTATGCGTTATATCTTGAAACTTCGTTCGGTAATCCTTCAATTTATCTCACTTGATTTTCAACCATGTTGCGAATTATTGAATTTAAGCCATATGAACAATTTAAGCAATATGTAGAGAGACTTATAAAAATAGGAAATAAAAAGAAATGAGGAACGTTCTACACCCGAACAGTCTGTATTTCATCGTACCGGGTTTTGCAAAGGGCACAGTCCATTTTACATGGGTTGCAACAAGTACCCGACAAAATGAATATCTATTCCAGTTCCTGCTTTTGCACTTCCCCTCTCTAAATACACATCGAACGTGTCTCCCACCGAGAGATCAACCAGGACGGTTTGTCCAGACATATGACGAAGTGGAGAGCCAGCAGCTTCACCCCCCGCAGCCCCTTTGATAACTCCGTTTTTCCTCAGTTGAATCCAAGTTTGGTCGGCATAAAGCAAACAATGGAAATGGAATGCGTAAATCCCTTTCACGGGTGCCGTGAAGATTCCAGTGTTCCTGTCAATTCCGCCGCCGTAGCTTATCTCTGCCCAATTGTACGTTATTATTGTGCCCTCATCGGTGTAGGGCTGATGTCTATACACATCAAAGTAAACGCCAGTCGTATGAATGGCAGCAAGGTTCTTGAGCTCCACATATTCCTGCCTAAGCTCCTCATATTCTTGCCTATCATCCAACTTGAGTTGTATGATGCTTTCTGAAAGCTCTTGATTTTTAGCCAGTAAGGCCGACACCGTCTCCTCCAATTTGGCGACCCTTTGTTCCAAGACGGGATCGTTTGCGAGTCTCTGTAATGACCACAGAAAAATTCGAATTTTAAAATAATTTGTACGAGATTTGGGTTATTGAATAATAGGATATACGAAGAAATGAAATGCAGAGAGCATATTTTGCCGAAATTTCGATTACATGTCTGGTGACCCTTTAAAATGTTGTGCATTCACAGAATAGATGAATTTTCTAACATTTCCGAAACAGCTTTGGGTGTAGACGGATAGAAGAAACACAAAAAGTGCTGGAATCTCCCTCATTTTGCTTCTTTCTAAACTGCTTGCACGAGTTCCGTCAGACCTGAAAATACAAAAGGTGATGCCATTCACATTCAAGATAGTTTTTAAAAAATATTAGAGGTTGGTGATACACCAGGAATATAGTTCATCACAACTGTCTTAGACTATCATGTACTGGTTATATTTCGGCACAATGGAACATTTTTGACAGAAATATCGGAGAAATGAGGTTTGAGGATTGCCTAATCGAAGGCCTTTCTCGATGGCCTTGCCCAAATTATCGTGATTAAACAGTGTGAAAACCATTTTTCAAAGGCTTCTCCCCATCATAATCCCCCTCCCGTTCAGGCCTCCATCTATCTATTTTTACAGTCAAACGAATAGCTAATCTCGAAAGTTACTGGTCAATTAGGTCAATGAAGGTCAATCTCCGGGTCTTTGTGACAGCTTGGAAATATTATGATAAATATTATGAGAATGCCTTATGCAGAAAAATTTATTTAGCTGTAGTTGTGGATGACTTCCTTCCGGTCCTTGCAGTGCCTAAAAAAACCCTTCGAAACTCTTATATCCCCCATTTTCAACTCTTTGCAACTCCCTTTTCTTCCGGAGCACGAAGGAAATTTGCTAAGATTATTTCGAAATATGTTAAAGCTTTGGTTAAACATATTTATGGAAAGGAATATTTTGGTAAATCAGTAATAGCTAAAAAGTATTGCACTTGGAAAGCAAATCAATGTATAAACAAATTTAACAGATGAATACATGCACCAACGGTAACTCACGATTGAAAGCGCTCCTGGACCCTCTGCAGGATAGGATCCAGATAGGTCCTATTCAAGGTTTAAATACTCTTACCATTCCAGGAAAGAATACATCTGGTACCCTATTTTTTGTGAGCGTTTATTTATATCTCATTATTTAGAGGAATTGCACGTTGCTCTTTCCCACGCATTACCTGTTTAAGTGTATTCACCAACCAGGATATTCCGGACCAGGAAACATTTTCTAAAAGGAAACATTTGATGCGCAGGAAGGAGTCACATGTTGTTCTCCCATCGAATGAGATATAAAGAAATGCACACAAAATGAAAAAAGTGGGTACCACATGTTTTCCTCGAAGGATGTTGATAGCCGAAGCTATCTCCAAATAGACAGACCAAAATATGCACGTGAAGTAAGTCGTGTCTTTGACATACAGAGCTCAGGACATAAGTGTGCTCGCCTGCTCAACCTGTGGCTTAGCAATGATCCTGTGTCTCTACGACTCGTCTATTCTTTAATACTGGCAGCTCGACCTCATTTTCGCTAAATGGCAGCTCCCAAGAGACTGATGCGATGTGGCGCTATTGAGAGGGAGTGAGATGTCTATCCTCCTGATTGGAAGCAATAGTTGGACCTCCTGCGCCATCGGATTTGATGCTCTGTCGATTTAGCATGCGCGAATTTAAAGGTGATACTAATTAATTTGCATGACACTGTAACACATTGAGTGCCATTTCTGCCATCTGTGAATGACACTACGAAGTTCGTGACAGGCCTGTCAGCCACGGGTGACTGACACTTAATTCAAAGCTATGTCGACCTGTTTTGCTGAGACCTGCGTGGATTTCGTCAAGTTATTCGATAGTTAGGCCTCGTGGTGAATGCAAAATGACATGATTTTGGCATTCATGGAACGATAACCTACTTTATTCCTTCAGCGAGTGACTTTTTGACTTTAAGGTATATCCCCTATTAGCACATAACATTGAAACAACATTGATTAAACCTTGATTCAACATCCGGACGTTGCACCAACGTTGAAGCAATGTTGATTCAACGGTCAAGAAGCCCGAGTGCCACTGATCCCCTGAATTCGATGATCTTCATTCCATCACCTGTTACCATGTGATTGATAACAAAAGCATTTACGAATTAACAAGGAGAAATTCCATAGCTAACTTCCTCAATCGGACCCTTTTTGGGAGAGCGCATAAGTAGCCAATTGACCCGAAATATCAATTGCAGTCTTTCCTTGGTTCTAGTGTTGAATAACCACAGGTTTGTTTGGCTTTCCAATTACATCCCATATTTAATTTTCCTCCCGGTTAACACTTGAGGTGTGTGGCCGATGACGAGTTGCAAGCAGACTGACGTCTCTGGTGCATTTCCATTTCAGAACAACTATTCCATCATTTTCCTGAGAAGCAAGTTAGTTAAAGACAAAATGGGACAAAGGACATAAGGACAAAATTCCCTCAAATGTTCTTTCTGGCAGAACATTTCGTCTATGTCAATATTTGCTCAGGTCTTTAATTCCTATTGACTTTGTTTCTCCAGCTTTGCTAGAATAAAATCTTCTGTACCCCATCGCCTCTTATTTTGACGGGTGTTTTGAAATTCATAGTATCCGTTCTTATGTTGTGCCTGCATATGAAGACTTCGTCCAATATTTGTGTGAAATGTCCTTTCTCACAACGTACAGGGTTATGTTTCCTTTTAAAAAGAATTACCAGATATTGGTTTCAACTATTTCAATTAAGGTTTCAAGATTTCAATTAGTCATTTAGTACCATATTTGATCGTTGCTTGACCGACTCAGGCATTTTTCATACCTTCCAGTTGAAAATATGGCTTGGCTTATATCAATTGTCACGAATACCATCTCCTTGCCTTCCGTAAAAATCTCCGCCGGGAACGAGGGAAATCCATTCAATACCCCCCTTTATTTTACAATACATGTATTTCGAGATTGGTTTTAGTGTGAATGTGCTTCGGGGGGGCATCTTGAATGTTCTCAAATGATTCAATATCCAACCTGTTCTTTAAAAAATAGGGACGAGTACGCAATACACAAAATGGAACCTGTGCTATCCATTTCCTTTGGTACGGACCGTGGCAGTAAACATACTCCAGACCAAAGGGAACCATACGAAAATGCCTTATAGGAACATGTAGGAATCCTAAAGGTTCCTATAGTCCTTATATGGATCAGTTTGGGACCTATATGGTTCCCTATTGAACGTATAGGATTCCCTATAGAACCTATAGGGTTCCCTATAAAACCTATAGGGTTCCCAATAGTACCTGTAGGGTTCCGTATAGGTCCTATAGGTGTCCCTTTAGAACCTGTATGACCTATAGGGTTCCCTATAGGGCCTATAATGAACCCTATAGGCCTATGGGGTTCCGGTTGAAGTTCTCCTCTAGGCCACTAGATGGTGGTATGTGGTTCTCGCATTTCTCAAAGTCCACAAAAGTGCTCTCCCCTTACCCATGGAATCATCTCTCACAAGAGAAGTACATTCCCAAATGTCTCGCCTTGCCTCATTGTAGCGATCAATAAACTTCGACACTTCCTTATTTGTTATCCCCATCATCCAGATATAATCATGGAATCCAGGCAAGAAATATGCCCATATTCCCTTTGAAAACGACACACAAGAAGGAGACGTCATCTGAATGGAGGTTTAGTAACGAGACGCGCGCGCAGGCTCCCTCATTTGTCTCTGAGAGAAGATGATAGTTCTCTCTATCGAAGGAAGCGGGCGCGCAATCCAGAGACATATGGGTGCCTTGGCATTAAATTATGTAGACCTAGCCAGTACAAGTATTAGTAATGCAAGTGCCCCTACCGTGGGAAAACCCGTAATTGGTAATTGATTTACACCAAAATGATGTGCCAATATTGACCCCGGTTGCCTTTTTCGGCGTAATGCCTGGGTTTCAAAACCAAAAATATCTTCCCCGAATCCTATAGATCAGGAGTTCTATGAAAGCCGATAGGGATCCTTATAGATTTTTCGTCTTTCTAGAACGTAAAGGAAAGTCTATTGGTTTCATATAAGAAATAACTAGGTTTCCTATAGGACATTTCTGTAAGGGTCTTCACTATGCACTCAAGCTCAATGCAAGGTATTACACAATATGATGCATACAGGATGAAGAGGAAATGATTATATGATTTACAATATCACTGCAATATCTTGAAACATGTCGAAAAAACTGCACAATCCTTTTTAGGCGTCTCTGACGTAATTTAACGTTAGTGATTATCTCAAAGAGATCGCCAGCGTGTTTCAGGTTTAAAATGGCTTCGATGACTCCTTAAATATGCAATTACATTATTGTGACTCCAGCTTGGAAGAAGTTGAATAATAAGTCCAGAGAATGGATATGAGATAAAAATTAAAATTCTGTTCCCTTAAATGATTATTAGGCAATAGATACTCAACGAGCAATAGCTCAATATGAACCAGAGTGGGATGAGTGGGGCGACAGACAGCATACGATCTCCAGCACTAACGCCAAGGGTCCACTCAATATCCCGCGTCTTCTATTAAGCTGCTCCTCACTATCCTCCAATTCAACTCCTAGTCCGACTCACTAACTTGATGCTCTCCGTGGCTCTCCCGCGCGACCCTTTTATTCCGTTAAGTCTGATATGCGTATTATCCCACACAGCACAGGGATATCCCAGGGATGTCCCTAACTGGACGACTTGTCCCCATGTCTTCATAGGATATCCTGAAGACATCTTCTTTTGGACGGTTTCGGACATCTCCTAAGGGATATATTCGGGACGTCTTTTAGACATCTTCAGTCGATATCTTAGAGATATCCCTTTCGGGATATCTTTAATACATCCATAGTCGAATGCTTCTGGATAGCCTGGAGGGGATATCTTGAAGATATCTTCAGTCAAACGCTTTTCACAGAAGTTGTTTCACTGTGTTGCATTCTTGAATAAGTAGCAGGAATAAAATGATATTGTATGGCGGGCATACTTCAAAGAAACACTGTCAATGACTATTTTTACATGCATTCCATTTCTCNGTTGGAGGACTGAGCTCATACTATTTGAAAGGCATAAGACTACATCATATCATCCATGACCCCTCGTGTAAAAGTGCTATATTTCGTCCCTTGGAGATGTGTCTCCTATGACGGGGCTTCCTTTAGGAATGGTACTTTCCTCCCCCTTAATCATAGCTCTTCAATCGATCAAGAACTTTAGATTAGGTGTTTCTATATAAAATAGAGATATCTACGAAAACAAAGGGTTCTCCTGTGCGATAGGAAATGAGTCCATTTGGGTAGGAAAGAATAGGAAGGCCCCTACAAGTAACACCTAAGACTTCTCACTTGTCCCAATGGGATATCCCTGGGACATCTCTGGGATGTGCTCTTTCTTCAAGAAAGGGATATCCTTGGGATGTCATTGGGCCAGACATTTTGATATCCCTAAGATGTCCCTACTCCTTGTCTCTGGGACATCGCACTTGTCCCAAGGGGATATCTCTGGGATATCTTTGGGATATACCTGTGCTGTGTGGGATCTTTTATGGTGATTTCATCATCATTAAGAAAGTACCTCCAACATCTTCGATATCTTGTAACTGCAGACGAGATGTAATGTTTGATGTTCACCGCCCTTTACATCTTCCAGAAATAAGATTAAAGCTGGATTGAGGCAAGCTCCACCTTTTGTCTTCACGAAAGCATTTTCTGCCATGCTATGATCATATATTTGAGTTTAGGTGAGGAAGGTGGAGGCATGCATGACTGACTAAGAACCTTCTTTTGCTTCTGATATTTCCTAGAAGGGAGGAGAAATGGAATGCATGTAAAAATAGTCATTGACAGTGTTTCTTTGAAGTATGCCCGCCATACAATATCATTTTATTCCTGCTACTTATTCAAGAATGCAACACAGTGAAACAACTTCTGTGAAAAGATTAGTATTGCTTGTTTAGAAACTTCCCAAAATGCATATGGAAATTCTTATTTAAAAAAAGAGCAAATGCAGCTCTTGACATGACCGACCTGGATGATTTTAAATATTTACTGGCTCCGCGATGCACTCTGATGTTTCAAACCAGTTTCGATCCAATTTCTCCTTCGACTACAAATTCCAGTTGAAGGAGAAAGTGTTGTTTAATCTTTAATGACTTAAAACTGCTGACTTAGTCTAACAGGGTTTTACACAAATATGTCAATTAAATGCTGTAGTTGGAATTGATAATAGTAGTGCAGAAGGAGACAAGAGTTGGAATCATCGAAGTTATCCCATAAGGTTGCTCGGTGGAGCTCACCTGACACGACTGTTTGCTAAGTGAACGTGCCATATCAAGAATAATTGAGCTCTCAATACAAAGTATTAAGAGAACGCACCTGCATCTTCTCAGGGTAACATGAGCTTCACCATCAATTTGTGGCATGTAGGTGGCCATTAAGGTATGGGGAAGTTAAAGTGTTCCTTATAAATGGGACATATGTTACATTTATTTTCTCAGGGAAATTGAATACGAGGTAGGGGACTCTTCTACCTCACGAGGTAGAAGAGTACCCTACATCACCTGATGTAGCAAAAGAAATGGAAGAGAGGAGGTCCTTTTGGGAGGGAGGACCTCTCCTTCTACCTCTACAGTCGCAGGAGAAGCGCATATGCACTCAAAATTCATAAGATCATCTCAAATGTGAACTGGAGAAAGAAGAAGAAGAAAAGAGGCATCTGGATGAATTCTGCAAATACTCCCTTCTCTTCTCGCAAAAAGCCTTCAGGAAAAAGAGTGGAGCACACCCAAATCAGTCACCAACCTCACTTCCTACAATTGAATTGCCTCTTGAGAGGGGCTGAAAAATCATGTTGGGGCACCTGATAAGGCCCTTAAGGCAAGCTGGGCTCCTTTTGATTTCATATTCCCTTCTTATTACATTGCATTGTATGCTTTTTTTTTTAACAATAAGAAAGGTTTTACAATAAATAAAATGTTCGCATGGAAGAAAAAATAAAAACGAGCAAATGCAAACACAGACAGTTTGTGTATGGGATGCTTTTGCTTGCGGGCTGAAGCTGACCCCGTTCTGCTCTCATTTTCCTTCCCCGCATCCTGTGTCTTTGTTCCTCTCCCCGCCTGTCGATTTTCCGGCCATGTGTACTCCTACTATAAAGTATCAACGACTAATTTTTTGGTTACGCATCTGAATGCCAGCAGCACTGAGGCTTCAAGCCCTAATTCAAAATGAAATTTCAGGGTCCTTTTTGGAGTAACGAATCGGGTAACATTACTGACTCTTGCTTGTTACTCTTAAAGTTACTCTACTCCTGAGGTAACAAAATCGATGGTTTTCTTACTCCTATTCAGAGTAACTTTCAGTGTAGCATTGGTAAGAGTGTACATCTCGACAGTGACACTTGAAGAAAAATCACTTTCTGGATATATTTTTAGTCTAGATTCCTCCTTAACCGGTGGTATAAATGTTGAAGCTGAGGGCCTTCATTTTAGTTTCATACTCCCCCAAAAAGAACCATCCTCAATCTCACCTCTCCCGAGAGGTAAGGCAACGTTCCGTCTCTCTCAAGCGTCT